CATCATGGTAATCTAAAGACTTAAATATACATGTAATTAATCTTTTAAATTAAATGGCATTGTCACGTAGACAGCAAACAGGGAGACAGGGGACTAAGATTTCTTCTTCTTCTTCTTCTTTCCGCTGTTGAGCTTGACTAGATAATTAAGATCATAGTTTGAATAATAAATCTGTTTTGTATTGTATTAGATACCTAGAATATATGTATAACATTCTTAATTCGATGTTATTTCTATTAATAATGGTTAATGACAACGTTGCTAGGGATGTTATAGAATATAATAGATCATGTGTTAAGACTTGGCATAACAATTTAGATTTTTAAATTAAAATAAGTTTTTGATATGATATTAAAATTTAATAATAAAATAATTATGAGTTTGGATCTCATTATTTTTATCTTTTATTTTTTATTTTAATTAAAATTAATTATTAAAATAAGGTAGTACAAGTTCAAGAAAGTTTCAACTTTCAAAAAATTTCATTTAAGATTTTATATTAAAAAATAATATATTAGAATCTCGTCTAATTACTTAAATTTTTAGATTCATATGATTCTTTTACAAGAACACCCTCTTAATTTACATTTTCGTTTTAATTAAAATGTTCATTAGATTATTAAGTGGTTAATTCCATCAGGACATTTATTTCCCTGTAATTTCCTTAATTACTATTTCATCTTAATTCCAGTCGAACATGTTGTCAAATATGACTTTACTAGCTAAACTAACTTGTTCTTCGAGATCAAATCAACGTACTGAAGTTCTTGTATGTGTTCCAAGAAGTAAAAACATAAGAAAGGTGAACAAGTTGAGCAAGCAAGGTTCAGGGAATTACCATATTGACCTAGGGCAAAAAATAGATAGGTGCATGTAATATAATAATATCTGACCAATGGCTTTGATTGTTAGCTAGAGAGTGGATGAAATTTGTCGCACCCGACATCGCGGCGGCCTTAAAAATTATTTTGGAATGGAAAGAATGGATTTCTGGCATCCTATTCTTTGATGGTGAATGATCTTTGTTTAAGGAGTCGCCACCTAGTATTATGGTTACTAGGAACCCTAACTGGTCAACAGAGATTCTATGGTTCGAGACTGATTACGCAAAAGGGAAGATATTATCACCCCTTTTAGCGTCCTGCCTAAGGCAGGCTGCATTGCTGACTTTATCAATAATTGCTAATGTTTTGTTGGTTTATGCTATGGTGGTTTTGCATGTAATATTCCTGACTCTGGCGTCAGTGAATATTTAACTACAGATATTTCCAACTCTGGCGTTGGTAAATATCACGTAGCTATAAAAAAAATAAATTTAAATCAGTTATTTTTTTATTCCTGACTCTGGCGTCAATGAATAAACAAATCAAATAAATTTATTTTTACGCATCACACAAAAAATAACATAAATTTAAATCAGATATTTTTTTATTCCTGACTCTGGCGTCAGTGAATAAACAAATCAAATAAATTTATTTTTACACATCACACAAAAAATAAAATAAATTTAAATCAGTTATTTTTTTTATTCCTGACTCTGACGTCAGTGAATAAACAAATTAAATAAATTTATTTTTGCGCATCACACATAAAAATAAAATAAATTTAAATCGATATTTTTTATTCCCGACTCTGGCGTCAGTGAATAAACCAATAAATTTATATTATTTTTATTCATGCATACATATTTTTATTTTCATATTTTTTATTTTTTATTTTATTTTAGTTTTTACCAATAGGCGTGCGTGAACTGCTCACGCACTTTGCTACAGGAAGTAAATAATTAAAATGTAAGGAGGGAGAGAGCAACTTACCTGATGCTGCAACTAAAGATGATAATGATAGTGAAGGGCCGGCTTGATGCTATTTTCTCTTCCTCTGTTTTCCTCTTGGTGTCCCTCTAATCCTTCTTTTCTATGTCCTTTTTTTTCAAGCATACCTCTAGCAAACACAGTAACCAGTTAATTATTTTAGTAAGAAAGGAAGGAAACTTATCTAGGCGTGTGGCTGCTGAAGGCGAAGTCGAGGGAGATTAGGGAGAAAAAAGGATTGAGGGGTGGCGGCTAGTATAGAGTTCGTCGCCCCCTTCTTTTTTATGTTTCTTTCTGTTAAGGTTTCTGGTAATGGCCTCCTCTTAAGGTTTTTTTTTCTTTTAGGGTTTCTCTCTAATCGTCTTCTTTCCTCTCTCTCTCTCTCTCTCTCTCTCTCTCTCTCTCTCCTTCTTTTACTCTGTTTTTCTAGGTTAATTCTTTATTCTCGGGTCTATCCTCCCCCTGTTCTTTACCTTTGACATCTGTATTTATAGTGTCAGAGTCCCTTTGTGTGTGAGAAACCAAGTTTCAATCAAACTCATTCTCTTTTTTGAAGTTCGAATTCGAATCAAATTCAAAAGCACACAACTATCATTATCTTGAGGATTATCTTGAACAAGGTAAGGATTATCTTGAAGTAGATAAGGATTATCTTGAAAAAGGTAAGAATTAGCTTGAAGGTAAGGATTATCTTGAAGAAGATAAGGATTATCTTGAGGATAAGGCTATAATGACAAAGGGACATTGTAATCCTTAATTTTTACAGAAGTTGACAAATCACACTTTTCATCGAAATAATCTCTAATTTTTTAATTTTTCATTTTAAACCCTGTAAAAATTAAATTAAAATCCAAAGGGCCAAAATTGGGTTATGACAGGGATGACCCTTACTTATTCAATTATTGTCCTGATCAAATATTTCAAAACTGCATTCTCGACAATGAGGTAAGTAATTTCATTAAATTTTGTTACTCTAAGGCATGTAGGGATCATTTTTCATCAAAAAAGAGGATTGTAGAAATCTTACAAAGTGGATTTTCCTGGCCAACCATATTCAAGGAGTCACATGCATTTTGCAAAAACTGTGAAAATTATCAAAAGGTGGAATTTATTTCAAAACACAGAGAGTCTTTAGATAATCTTCTATTGACTCTTAAGTCTCATCATAGTCAAGATAAGCATCGTGCAATTCATAACTTATGAACCCATTTTCATAAAGAACATACTTGACTTAGTCTTGGGAATCTGACTAAAAAAGACCCTGTTTGCCAGTTTTTAAGAAAATTGGATGGGAAGCCTATCCCCGACCCATTGAGGGCGTTTAAGCTGTTCTTGGACGTAAAACCAAGGGAAGATGTGAGCCACATTCACAACTGCGATTTGAATTTTTTTTGTTTGTAAAAACTTGTGTTTTTTGGTTTTATTATTGTGTTTTGTTATTTCTTATTTTTGTTTTAGTGTGTTTCAGGTTTTGTCAGTGTTCGTTATTTCAGGTGATATCTTCTATACTCTATCTTTCTACCTTAGAACATTGAGGACAATGTCTCGTTTTGGTTGGGGGGAGAGGGTAGTAGTTGATAAAAAAAAAATTATTTTTCATTTCATAAAGCATGTGCATAATTGTTGTTACTAGGATGGCAGAGTAAAAGAGTTCTTTTGTTAAAGTGACTCTTGAGACGCATCTTAGTAATCATTCTTAACAAGGTCTATTATAATACTTCCAGTAAGATTTAGACTGAACCAGCTTGGAAGATTACAGGCCTCTCATACAAACACACCTGTTAAGGTCAGTGGCAAAGCAGCAGACATTATGTTGAAATATTATCACGAGGAAATGAAGACGGAGCTAACTCTTCGAATCCAACTCCGAGATTGTTTTGAAATCAATTTATATTCTTTCAAAACATAATGCATAAGAAAATATACTTTATCTGTCATTCTTGTTTCTGTATTTTTTATCTTGATATAGTAATTAAATGTTATTTAATTATAGAACTAGATTAGTAGTCATTTTGTAGTTGAAAACTCTTCGAATCCAGCAGTGATCATTGTTCTTAATAGCAACTATGTACTCGTATATTTCCACGTACAGTAAATCTCATATGGTTACTTAATTTTGTTTAGCTATTAGAGTACTGTGCTGAAATGCTGATGATCAAAGCTTACGTAGGGAGGCCTAATCATCTCTAAAATGGGAAAATGATTTAAAATAAATGATAGCAACCAGCCATGCAACTGAGTAAAAAGTTCTCCGATCATGTCTAACCACTCTACCGTCCAATCAATATTCTCATCTTGGACTCGTGCAAAAACAAAGTCAAACACATTACACGGTTATCGCTTCTCTGTAAGATCCAAATTTCGTTTAATCCATCTATGTTCATAGGCATTCACACCATGATCTTCAATTTGATCTGCTGATAGTTAAAGTTGCCTGTTTTTGTAGCATGTATCTTTCAGACTTTCAAAGCTTTTTGACCCTTTTCATTTTACATGTATTTGCAATCTCAAGAACAAGTATTTCTTCAATCTGGGAACTTGATGTGAAGATGGAAGCATTTCTCCTTGATAAAACGAAATTAATTGGAATAATAATTTTTTTTTTGTTTAAAGTCTTTAGATCATCCATAATTATTTATGAATGAACTTGTAATTCTATAATAGTTTTGTTTATGTGAAGATACATATAGTGGAGTTCCATATTCAAATTTAACCTTTATCATAAACTTTTATTAAATTGAAACACAATCGCAATAAAAATCCCTAATTATTTGTTAACTATGTATCAATTTTTATAAATTGAGATCAAGTTTTAATTATGATATCCATACCTATATTATTATATTTATATATAAAAAAATAATTATTTCTTACACCCTCTTATTCAAATCATGCAGCCCACACACTACAAACTTTTTTGCGGCAGAAAAATCAATGGTACATGTCACTTTTTTAATTTATATCAATCATGTAATTGTGCATAATTACTAGATTGCATACCCATATATATTATAATGCATGTGTGTTATTGTATTATTAACATGGAGAAGAAAGATACGTACGTGGCCAGAGGTCGGCACCAAATCTTTTTGACTTGAAATCTCTCTGTCCCACTCTCTATATATATATATATATGAAGGGTCATCTTCCTCTTAGCAGCCACAAGAACACTTTCTGTTTTAAGATCAGCTTAGCCCACTTTCTCTCCTTCTAACAACCTTGTCTCCTTCCTTACAAAGCCTTAACCACAAGCACTATTGCAAGAAAAAAGAACACGGAACTATATCAATGGGAAGAGCACCTTGCTGTGACAAAAATGGACTCATGAAGAAAGGTCCCTGGACCCCTGAAGAAGATCAAAAGCTCACCGCTTATATTCAACTTCAGGGACCTGGAAACTGGCGTTCCCTCCCCAAAAATGCTGGTGTGTGTGTGTGTGTGTGTGTGTGTGATCGTTAATTTATGGATGATGGATTTTTTGCTTTATTTTTCTTATAACTTAGCTTGTTGCATTCATTGTATAGGGCTCCAAAGGTGTGGAAAGAGCTGTCGTCTTCGTTGGACAAACTACCTGAGGCCTGATATCAAGAGAGGAAGATTTTCATTTGAAGAAGAAGAGACTATAATTCAACTTCACAGTATTTTGGGAAACAAGTAAGACTACTATCCCTTTGGATTTTGATTTTTATTGATATTTTTTCTCCTTGGTATCTTGTAGGATTAGTATGCCAGTCATTAGTAACAATTTTTATGCCATGATAGTCATAAATTAACTTGAATAATTAGGATAACAATTCCAAGTTTCTTTTCAATTTTAGGTGGTCAGCTATAGCAGCTCGTTTACCAGGAAGAACTGACAATGAAATCAAGAATTATTGGAACACTCATATAAGGAAAAGGTTGCTTAGAAATGGAATTGACCCAGTGACTCATGCCTCACGTCTTGATCTTCTTGACCTATCCTCTATTCTGAGTTCAGCTTTGTGTAACCCATCATCACTACTCACTCTGTCAACCTTGGTGGGCAATACTCAAGCCCTACTAAATCCTGATATTTTTAGACTATCCACCACTCTATCATCGTTGAAACAAGAAAATTCAGACCTGTTTTTTCAGCAACTACAAGAAAACCAGCTTTGCAGCTCTCTGTTACAAAACCAAGCTATCCCTACATTATCGTCACAACCTAGCCAGTTTCAGAATCTAGTTGAGCTAATTCCCGCTTGCACTCCTACTACATCTACGGGCCCATTTCTAAACGAAACAGCACCACTTATGCTAGCAAACGTGGAAGGGTTTTCACCGAATACAACAAGTACTTTTAGCTGCCAAAATTCACAAGAAAATTTCTTGCCTTTGGACGGGGGCTTGGTTTCACAGCCCAACTTTTATTGTAATAGTACTATTACTACTACAAATCCTACAGTTCCTGAACTTGAAGAGTACTCAGGATTCCATTCTGCAAACAACGGCTATCAGAATTTTAGCATTGACTCAGTTATTTCAACGCGTTTAACGAGCCCGGATCCATTGAATTCACCATCAACATATGTCAACAGCAGCAGTACTGAGGATGACAGGGAGTGCTACAGCAGCTTGTTGAAGTTTGAAATTCCAGAGAGTTTGGACATTGATGATTTCCTGTAAATATATATTGCCTAAAATATGATAGATCATGTGTAACACTAGACTGAGTTTTTTCGCTGTTTTTGTGCTTTGATTTTGTTTCGATTTTCAGTATTTATGTTCATACATATACATATGAAATTTGTTTTATTTTTTAAGTTATTTTTCTTCTTGTTTAGAGCCATGCGCATGAATTTCTCTTAATATATATAGATTTTGTTACCTTGCAACAAAACGTAAACCATTGTTCCTTAGCCAGAACTTTGAATTCTCACTTAGCAAGATAAGGTCAGGACATGAGGTAGGAAAATAATTATCTGGGATTATGTGTAAATGAAGCCATTAATTATTATTATAAAATCCGACGTGCTTAATAATGATATTTTTTTAGTGTTTGGATAAAGAGTAACCAGATGTTTATGTCAATAATTTATTTTTTAGAATTTATGAAATTAATGATTGGTGATAAAATACTTGATATTTGCAAAACAATCTTTTTTTTATGGAATTTAAGCGCTGTGATAATCAATAATTTTTAAAAAAGAATTGCAATAAATAAGACAATAAGTTTTAAATTTTAAAAACAAGAGTGATTGTTTTTAGTTGTGTAAAATAAATATTCTAAAAATAAACATATAAATGCTTAGGGAATAAATAAAAAAATATAAATTATTTACCTGAGTGATTCATGAAATATTTATAGTCTCTGAACTTTATCATATTACTTGAATAAAAAGATTGACACATTATCTTCTTATGATATCATTAATGATGAATATATATATTTCTTACATAATATTAATGTTAATGAAAATTAATATGATAAGTCCTTATAAAACTTTTATATGTCTAGGTATGTAGAAAGATAATTATTATTGACTTTTCACATTTTATGTTATAAGACATTAGAATAAATAAGAAAATCATTGTGACTAAAAAGAATCCTAAATATATTATTAACTTCATATGTATTTGAACTTTGAATGATTCTAATTTCAAGAATGATGAGTCTAATAACTTATTAAACTTATATATATTAAGTTTATTACGTAGCTAAATCTATGATTGTTCAATACTACTTGTACTCAATATGTTACTAAATTCAAGGATGGTAAGTCTAACATCTTGTTGGACTAACATGTAAGGGTATTAGATCTGACATCTTATTAAACTCATATTTACTTAAATTTAGAGTGTAATTAAATCCACGTGTGTTGAGCATGGCATCTTATTAGATTTACATTTATTAGGGCTTAGCGTATAGTTAAACTCAAAGATATAAGGTTTGGTATCTTCACAAATCTACATGTATTTAAGATTGTTGTATCTAATATCTCTCTAGTTTTAAATTAACTTAATCTAAGAATATAACTAAATTCAAAGATATTGAATATGTATGGAAGCCAAATTCATTATGCCATTTGTGATATTGAATATGTATGGAAGTCAAATTTATTATGCCATTTGTGATAGACATTTTAACAAGCCTAGTCATATTAAGTTAGTTTTATGTATTTTCTCTTTTAATCATAATTTTTTAAATAAACATATCATATAAAATATATTTATTCATTAATCATTAACGCGTGAAAAACTCAACATGAAAAACAACTCGAATGGAAATCAATTAATGCTGAAATACGAAATAGAAGCAAGGAACTCTCCTTTGATTTTCCCTCTTGGTGACACAATCTCATTGTCATCTCTTTATCAGCATCGATCTGCCTTTATCAATATCTACCTTCTCTCTAATTTCTCCTTGACCGCCCAAGAAAAACGGTTTCGTGAAGCATGCTCTCATCAGAACAAGAACAAGAACATGACCGAAGAGTTCCACGAAGAGTTGTAACATTCAAATTTCAACGCAAAAAGTGCATCCTTGTCTTCACATATGACTCTAGTTTTCCTTGGAATCGACTTGATTTGTTGAAAAAAAAAAAAAAAAGCTGCTGCATTGAAAAGTTGTGCAATGGGATCAAGATTCTTTAATAGAGAACATAATAATATAATTTATTTGTTTTTGTATTTAAAAAAATTAAAAAATATTTTTCTCTTTTTTAGAATTCGTTTTTTTTTTTTTTTGCTTTTAGGTATTTTTACGTGCTAAATTAAAATTACCACAACATTTGAACAAAATGATCGAATCTACAAAACAGTTTTGCTATTATCATGAAATATTGAAGTAATAATAAACAGTTAGTTGTGTAAATATTTGAGAGAAGAAGTATGAGGTAATTAAAGAGGTTGATTTAGTAGTTAAAATGATTTACTCTTTCTTTATCATAAAGTTTAAACTTTACATTAAAATATTATAAAATAAAATAAAATTTCATAAACTTCTAATTTTGACATGAATAGCTTATAAACACAGGGATTTCATTTAATCGTGCGAAGTATTTTATATCCAGAGGTCAATTCTTACATAAAATCCTCATTAATTATGGAGGAAACTTCAAATAAAGTTTGTTTCCTTTTTCCAACCTTCGTGAGGGCCATAGATAAGATCATCATCTCCAATTATTGCTCTTACAATAATGTGAACTGTTCAGCTGTATCTATTGCTGCAATGATTTCAAACGGAAAGGGAGTCTTCAGCTAAAAGTGGGGCCCAAAAAACAAGCACGGAGAGCACAAAATCAAGCACAAGCATGACATAATTATTGTCCTAAAAATCCAAAAAACACAGGAGTATATCTTTTGATAATTCTTAATAGTTTACAAATAAAAGTATATTTAATTTGAAAAAATTATTAAATTAATATTTATTTTAATATATTTTTAAATAAAAAATATGAAAAAAAAAACAGCGCACCACAATCTGAAATGTGAATTGGACGGTGGCTTGCTTGCTTGTTTTGTTCTTATTTGTTTGCCTTGCATTTTCCTAACGCGTTAGCAGTTTCTTCAAGGCAATTATTAATCGTCAAAATACACCTTTAATTTCGTGGAAAATGAAACGAATATTTATAGACATATGGGCACCGTCAAGGGATGATACAATGCTCTTGTTTGACTTTTCAAATTATGGAAAAACAGAGGGAAAGTGCTTTCCAAGTTGAGTATTTTGAGTTGCAAAAAAAATTATATCCATGTTTTATCAATTCTTATCAAAGCTTTTTGAATTATTTAAAAGTTTATGAGGATATAATGGTTGGGATACACCTTTATTTTTTAAATTAAAATTTTTATTAACAAATGATGAAATCATGTAATTAATACAATTTTATAATATCTTTTAAAATCAAAGGTGCATCAACTATATAAAATATATTACATGTACGTATCCATAATTTATTTTTTCATGAATACATGTGTTTTAATTGAATAAATATAATATAAAATGTGTTTTGAGCCAATAAGAAAATAAGTTCATGAGTGTTTGTTTTGTTGTAGTATTTTGGTATAATCACCATATAAACTAATAATAATATTAAACCAAAATTATTTGTAAATAATGGGATTATTAAATTTGAATTACTCTAAACATTGTAAGAGTTTGGCTATATAATATAGTTAAAAAAAAGTTTACAAAATTATGGGGAAATTACGGATATACAACTCTATGTTTACAATAACTTTGACATTAATAATAAATAAAATAAATAAAAAATAATGTACTTATATAATTCAATAAATTATTATTAATAAATAAATTATAAAACAAATTGATAATAAATACCCGGCCAAATGTACAGGTTTATTTTTTTAATTAAAATTGATTAATAATATAAAAAAATAATTTAAATCTATACAAGTTTTAATTAAAAAAATTCTTTGTTTTTCACTCTTATTTTTTGTATGTATTTTGATCTCTTTGGTGTTTTTGGCATCCATTTGTGGTATTTAATTCTCTTGACGAGGAGATTATTTGTATTTTAGGAATGCTTTAAAAAAAAAACTATTATATAAGCATTTCCTCCTATTCTCATCAATGAAAATACAAAATCAACATTGGACTATTAACTTCATTTGTGCTTTTCTTAAGTAACAGCTCAAACAATTGGGCTTTAAGCCTATTGTGAATTAGTTTGGGCTTCAGGCCCTTTAAACTCTCTCCCTCTTCTTTTCAAAGTTTTTTATAGTTATATTGGACTATTAACTTCGTTTATGCTTTTCTTAAGTAACAGCTCAAACAATTGGGCTTTAAGCCTACTGTGAATTAATATGGGCTTTAGGCCCTTTATACTCTCTCCTTCTTTTCAAAGTTTTTATAGCTATATTGGGGAGAAGGATATTGATAGGCCTTGGGCCATCCCAGAGCATTGAAAAGCTAGCCGACAATTCAATATAGCCCATACCAGGCATTGGGCTATTTTATATGCTTCGTCCGCTTTAAGAAATTAAAAACTTTAGTGACGAGGATTTTGTCGCAAGAAGCGCTGCTTTCGTCGCCAGTTTTGGGGGAAAAAACACAAAGCGACTAATATGATCATCTATGATTGTCGATTGATCTCCCTTCGCTTCTCTCTCCAACTGAGAGAACGCTCTACCTATTTGAAGCTGTGATCGTTAACAAGGGGCATTGGATAATCATTTGCTGTGTTAATGATCTTGACTGATTCTTTTTTTTTTTAATCTTATAAATCAATGACAGGATATTTGATTATGGTTTGAGATCCAAAGGTAAGGTGTTGATTATGGGATACAATGGAAATGGAAATTCCCAACTAAATTTGTCATTAAAAAAAAGCTAGAAATATGTCATTATATTATATTATTCTACAATGACCAAATTAATTAATGAAAATATATCCTATAAATATCAATTAAATTTGTTTCTAACCCAAATATATTAATACACATTATATTCGTATTATTTTATACTTAGTTTTTATTAAATAAAATAAAAATAAAAAAAATTAAAATTTTTAATATTATATCAAAGAATAATCTCAATAATTTTAAGAATAATTTTATATTACTTTATAATATTCCCAACTCTTTTTTATCTTATATAAAAGAAATAAATAAATATAAAATTATATATAAAAATTCAAGATATATGCCTTATAGTGACGTGATTCACAAAATATAGCCTAAAGAAAACACATGGAAACTAGCTTAATTAATCGTTATATTTCCTCTAGGAGCA